CACAGCCCGTCCCGCTGCAGCTCCACCGAGCCCGAGCAGTTGAAGTCACCACCCACCAGCCGCAGCGTGGCGAGGCCTGGTGAGGAGCAAAACCATCTTGTTACAAGCTGCCACAGCATTTCTCTCCATTGCAGAATCCAGACAGACACACAGACAGACAGACAGACATCCCGGCAGCTGCCGGGCCTGGCTCCTTCCCCTGCCACCTCACAGCGTTTTGGTTTCTCATGCCAATGAGAAGTGGGGATGTCAGGATGAGAGTGGGACATGGCAGGGCCCTGCCCGGAGGAGCTCTGAGCTGTTCCCGTGGGAAATGCAGCGGGAAAAAAGGCGGCTCTTCACATCTGTAGGAAGCTCCAAGTTCTGCCACGACAAAGTTGATGGGGAAAGGACCTTTCCTGTGCCCGGTCCTTCATTATCCCAGCTCTACCAACCATCATCCCAGCTCTACCAACCATTATCCCAACTCTACCAACCATCATCCCAACTCTACCAACCATCATCCCAACTCTACTGACCACTAACCTTACTGCCCATTAATCTAACTCTACCAGTTAACCTAACTCTACCAAATTAATCTAATTCTACTTGGTCATGGAAAAAAAAGTCCCTGATCCCACCATGGCTGAAGCTTCGTTGCCAACCATCCCAGAGCTCATTTGGCTCATTGCACATTTTTTTTTTAATGTCAAAATTTGTATGAAGTTCAAACAGTACAGGCTGTGACAGGTGCCAAAAAGGGGCTTCCAAGGTCCCAGTGTCCTGCAGGACAGAGGAGACATCACTGGGGTGCTCCTTGGGTGCCCCCCTGAGTGTGGATCTTGCTGCTGCCTTCAAGTTGATATTTTTAATAAATCACCTTTTCTTTCTATCTGTCATGGCTGTGGAGGGGAGTGGGTGCCCTTCCCAGTGCTCCCAGTTCCTCCAACCTCCCAGTCCAGGCAGCAGGGACGGGGGCAGGTGGGTTGTGGGGACAGTCCCACCTCCTTTGGGTTAGACTTGTTCTTCTGAGAGGTGGAAAAACCCCATTTGGGGAGTTTTGTGCCACGGGAAGAAGCTCTTTTGGTGTCTCCACGTCCCCTGGTGTCCCCATGGCCCTGATGGAGGTTCCCAAGTGGAGATTTTGACCCTCCAGGGAGCAGGAACTTTCAAGTAACTTCCCAGCCCTCGCAGTCCTTCTGGTGCCATGGAGGGTCTTCCAGCTGGTCCTGCAGCAGCTGGTGTTTGGGATCCCTCAGGGTCTGGTGCTGTGGGTGATGGGCGTCCATGTCCCTCAGCATCTGCCCTCCCTCAGCTGCCCCCTCTCTGTCCCACCTGCACCAGCACGGGCTGGTTCTGCTTGGAAAAGACCTTCAAGATCATCAGATTCAACCATCACCCAACTCTACTGGTTCTGCAGCCCCTGCCCCAGGTTCTCCCAGGTTCTGACCCCCTAAATCCTGGGGTCTCAGCCCCCAAATCCCGGGGTCTGACGCCCCAAATCCCAGGGTCTAAGCCCCCAAATCCCGGGGTCTGACCCCCTAAATCCCGGGGTTCTGAGCCCCAAAATCCCGGGGTTCTGACCCCCCCAAATCCCGGGGTTCTGAGCCCCCAAGTCCTGGGGTTCTGACCCCCCAAATCCCAGGTTCTCACGCCCCCAAATCCCGGGTTCTCAGCCCCAAATCCAGGGGTCTGACCGCCCCAAATCCCGGGGTCTCATCCCCCAAATCCCGGGGTCTGATCCCCTAAATCCCGGGTTCTGACCCCCCAAATCCTGGGGTTCTGGCCCCCCAAATCCCGGGGTCTGAGCCCACGCACACCCCCCACCCCACCCCCCCCGCTAAGGGAGGGAACCCCCCCCAGACACACACCCAGACCCCCCGCCCCCCTCTCCCCGTCCCGCCGGGCTCCCCAGCGCTGCCCCCGCCCCAGCAGGACCCACAGACGGTCCCTCCCTGCGCTGCGGCCGCTCGGGAACCGAAAGCAAAAGCGCGGGAGGAAACTGAGGGGGAGGTGGGGGAGGGAGCAGTGATGTGACCCCCAGGATAGGTTAATTAATTAATGTTAATGACCCATTAGTATCCTGAAATCTCCCCGGCCCAGGCTGCCTGACACCCCCAAGCTCCCCCAGTTAACCCCCAGCTCCCCCAACTGCCCCCTCAGCTCCCTCA